ACACTGTACCCACATGAATTTTTTTGCATTTTTTTGAGACAGATAAAACTTTATTTTGGTGGTATTTATTTACCACTGGGATTTTAATTTTTTTGCTATATAACCGAAAAGGTCTAAAAAATTTTTTTAAAAAGTGTATTCAGTTATCTTTTAGTTAAAAAAAAATAACCCAAATTAGTTTATAACCAAAAATTATTTTTTTAAATTTTTATATCATTTTTTTTTTTGTTTTTTTTTTAAAATATACTGTCACCCTAGCAGTACAGTGTCACCATAGTGACACTGTACTACTTGTGGAGGGTGATGAAGATTTTTTTTTTTTTTACACTGATTGCTTTTACACTCTTTATGGGTGCAAAACCAATCATTTCTTCTTTTCTCTGGCTGCATTCTTGCAGCCATTGATAAATACTGTGTGAGCTGTGAATGGTCACAGCTTGTCACATGGTACAAGGCTGTTGTGAATAGCCTTGTACCATGTGATCTCTGTGATCATTCACAGATTTCACACTTAGTAAGCAATGATGTCAGAAGTGACATCTTGCTTACACCTATTCATGTGATCACCGATTGGCCAATCAGTGATCACATGATCGGGACCGCACACAGAGGTCCCGTACAGTGATCGGTGTTCCGCTGTGTCCGGGCACCAGATCACGGTGCCACGCGCTCCCAGGGAGGCTGAAAAGCAGGGGGTGGGGATCTGAAGTTACACTCAGTGAGGAGAGCTCTGAGAGCTGATTGAAAGGAAAAGACACCCCCCCCCTTCACACAGCATCAGAGCTAAGGCTGTCAATCACAGGCTTTGCCCTCTCGTTACCATTTTTCTCTTGGTGTCAGGAAACCTTGTCAGAAGTGACTCATGATGATAGCTAAGGAATGAGGAAGCAGGCAGAAATGACAATTAGTTGGACCTATTTATCTATACCCATCTGAAAGCTACATCCCTCTAAAGTCCAGAATTTTCACAGGATCTCTCAGCTCTGAAAAGCAGGGGGTGGGGAACTGAAGTTACACTCAGTGAGGAGAGCTATGAGAGCTGATTGGAGACACACCATCCTTCACACAAGAACAGAGCTGAGGCTGTCAATCACAGGCTGTGCCCTCCCCTATCACCATTTTTCTTCTGGTGTCAGGAAAACCTGACTGAAGTGATTCATGATGATAGCAGAAGAACGAAGCAAGTACACACTATAGAGCAGTGGTTCTCAACCTTTCTAATGCCGCGACCCCTTAATACAGTTCCTCATGTTGTGGTGACCCCCAACCATAAAATTATTTTCGTTGCTACTTCATAACTGTAATTTTGCAGTGGGAGGAGTAGTGCCATGTCATTGGTGTCAGTGGAAGGAGTAGTGCCCCATCACTGATGTCAGTGGGATGAATAGTGCCCCATCGTTGGTATCAGTGGGAGGAATAGTGCCCCATCACTGATGTCAGTGGGATGAATAGTGCCCCATCGTTGGTATCAGTGGGAGGAATAGTGCCCCATCGTTGGTATCAGTGGGAGGAATAGTGCCCCATCACTGATGTCAGTGGGATGAATAGTGCCCCATCACTGGTGTCAGTGGGAGGAATAGTGCCCCATCACTGGTGTCAGTGGGAGGAATAGTGCCCCATCACTGATGTCAGTGGGATGCATAGTGCCCCATCACTGATGTCAGTGGGATGCATAGTGCCCCATCACTGATGTCAGTGGGATGTATAGTGCCCCATCGTTGGTATCAGTGGGAGGAATAGTGCCCCATCACTGATGTCAGTGGGATGAATAGTGCCCCATCACTGGTGTCAGTGGGAGGAATAGTGCCCCATCGTTGGTATCAGTGGGAGGAATAGTGCCCCATCGTTGGTGTCAGTGGGAGGAATAGTGCCCCATCGTTGGTGTCAGTGGGAGGAATAGTGCCCCATCGTTGGTGTCAGTGGGAGGAATAGTGCCCCATCGTTGGTGTCAGTGGGAGGAATAGTGCCCCATCATTGGTGTCAGTGGGAGGAATAGTGCCCCATCCTTGGTGTCAGTGGGAGGAGTAGTGCCCCATCATTGGTGTCAGTGGGGGGAGTAGTGCCCCATCATTGGTGTCAGTGGGGGGAGTAGTGCCCCATCATTGGTGTCAGTGGGGGGAGTAGTGCCCCATCATTGGTGTCAGTGGGAGGAATAGTGCCCCATCACTGGTGTCAGTGGGGGGAGTAGTGCCCCATCACTGGTGTCAGTGGGAGTAGTGCCCCATCACTGGTGTCAGTGGGAGGAATAGTGTCCCATCGTTGGTGTCAGTGGGGGGGGGGAGGAATAGTGCCCCATCATTGGTGTCAGTGGGAGGAATAGTGCCCCATCATTGATGTCAGTGTGGTGGAGGGGAGAATAGTGCCCCATCATTGGGGTCAGGGGGGGGGGGAAATAGTGCCCCATCGTTGGTGTCAGTGGGGGGAGAATAGTGCCCCATCGTTGGTGTCAGTGGGGGGAGGAATAGTGCCCCATCGTTGGTGTCAGTGGGGGGAGGAATAGTGCCCCATCGTTGGTGTCAGTGGGGGGAGGAATAGTGCCCCATCGTTGGTGTCAGTGGGGGGGAATAGTGCCCCATCGTTGGTGTCAGTGGGGGGAGGAATAGTGCCCCATCGTTGGTGTCAGTGGGGGGAGGAATAGTGCCCCATCGTTGGTGTCAGTGGGGGGAGGAATAGTGCCCCATCGTTGGTGTCAGTGGGGGGAGGAATAGTGCCCCATCGTTGGTGTCAGTGGGGGGAGGAATAGTGCCCCATCGTTGGTGTCAGTGGGGGGAGGAATAGTGCCCCATCGTTGGTGTCAGTGGGGGGAGGAATAGTGCCCCATCGTTGGTGTCAGTGGGGGGAGGAATAGTGCCCCATCGTTGGTGTCAGTGGGGGGAGGAATAGTGCCCCATCGTTGGTGTCAGTGGGGGGAGGAATAGTGCCCCATCGTTGGTGTCAGTGGGGGGAGGAATAGTGCCCCATCGTTGGTGTCAGTGGGGGGAGGAATAGTGCCCCATCGTTGGTGTCAGTGGGGGGAGGAATAGTGCCCCATCGTTGGTGTCAGTGGGGGGAGGAATAGTGCCCCATCGTTGGTGTCAGTGGGGGGAGGAATAGTGCCCCATCGTTGGTGTCAGTGGGGGGAGGAATAGTGCCCCATCGTTGGTGTCAGTGGGGGGGGGGAATAGTGCCCCATCGTTGGTGTCAGTGGGGGGAGGAATAGTGCCCCATCGTTGGTGTCAGTGGGGGGAGGAATAGTGCCCCATCGTTGGTGTCAGTGGGGGGAGGAATAGTGCCCCATCGTTGGTGTCAGTGGGGGGAGGAATAGTGCCCCATCGTTGGTGTCAGTGGGGGGAGGAATAGTGCCCCATCGTTGGTGTCAGTGGGGGGAGGAATAGTGCCCCATCGTTGGTGTCAGTGGGGGGAGGAATAGTGCCCCATCGTTGGTGTCAGTGGGGGGAGGAATAGTGCCCCATCGTTGGTGTCAGTGGGGGGAGGAATAGTGCCCCATCGTTGGTGTCAGTGGGGGGAGGAATAGTGCCACATCGTTGGTGTCAGTGGGGGGAGGAATAGTGCCCCATCGTTGGTGTCAGTTGGGGGAGGAATAGTGCCCCATCGTTGGCGTCAGTGGGGGGAGGAATAGTGCCCCATCGTTGGCGTCAGTGGGGGGAGGAATAGTGCCCCATCGTTGGTGTCAGTGGGGGGAGGAATAGTGCCCCATCGTTGGTGTCAGTGGGGGGAGGAATAGTGCCCCATCGTTGGTATTAGTGACACAAATGATGGGGCACTATTCCTCCCACTGACACCAATGATACTTACTTTGCTGACCCCTGCTCCAGCCTGGGCTCGCTCTCTCACTTACCTGTCAGCTGTCTTCCTTCTCTGGCCGCTCTCCTCTTCACTAGCTCCGGCAGCTCCCTCGATCTTCTTTGATGTACGCGCGCTGCCGCTCAGCTCCTCCTCTCCAAGCTCCACCTCCTCGCCGGTGATTGGCCGCCTGTGTGCCTCTCCTGAGCTACAGTTCCGGTGGCCAATCAGCGGCGAGGAGGCGGAGCTGCTGAGCGATCCCGGAGGTGTGGCCAGGTGACAGGAGCAGCGTATCATCCCGCCCACACATCGCCTGAGACGGAGGAGCGGTGTCTCGGTTCCTAAGACCATCGGAAATATGTGTTTTCCGATGGTCTTAGGCGACCCCTGGGAAATGGTCGTTCGACCCCCAAAGGGGTCACGACCCCCAGGTTGAGAACCGCTGCTATAGAGGGATATACTTTGTTCATATGTCATGTCTGTGGTTTACAACCACTTCAACCAAAAAGAAAAAAAAAGCACAAACACAACAAATACCAGTAACAAGGGTCTCCTTAAAAGGAGGTCAGCAAGGAAAGACCACCTGTTAAAACAATAAAGATTTCAGGATTCGTGCTGTTTTTCTTAAAAAAAAAAAAAATTTTTATTAAGTGAAACTTAACTTACCAACACAAAGTCTCCAATAAGTATTTAAGTTTTAAAGACACTCACTGAGGGGGAAAAGGGACAAACTTCTGCAGGTATGAACTGTTACAGTCTAAACCTTTCTGTCATGGCTGAACCTCCAGCGGTTCTGAGAGGCAAAGTTACAGGACTTTCCAATAGTGCTGACCCCTTCCTACATCCTGCACATTCCTACTGTCTAGTGGGGGGCTAATCATAGTGATGGGCCAATAGGAACATCAGACAGGAGCTTAGTGATAATCTCCAACACTAGCCAGAAAAAGTCACGGCTTCACCTGTGAAAATGGCCTGGCATATGGCCATGGCTGGAAGGTGTAGGATGATACTACAGTTATGTACCTCTAGCAGTTTGTCTCCTTCCCCCACCCTGGTCCACCATGAACCAAAATATATGTTTTGGGCAGACTTTCCTAGTAAAAGTGCAGGGACCCAATAAACACAGTAGGCATCATATCTGCTAATAATTTTGTATTTTTTAAAGTGATCACAGAGTCATATAAAAAGATGATCAATCAGATTCCATCTTTATTCTGTTAGGCTGGGTTAGGCTCCTTGGCATGTACTTTCTGCTTGTGCTTCAACAGCCTGGATCTGGTAATGAAACACTTATCACACTTGGCACAGGGGAACGACCTAGTGTGAGTCCCTTGATGATTCAACATGGTGTCTTTACATGGAAAGGCCTGGTCACAGTACTTGCAGACAAATGGTTTCTCCCCTGAGTGCAGCCGCTGGTGGACAACCAGGCTGGCGTATTGGCAGTAACTCTTGCCGCATTCACTGCACACGTATGGCTTCTTTTCTGCGTGTATGCCGGAGTGCTTGACCACGCTGGACTGTCGGGTGAAGCCTTTCCCACACACTGGACATGAGTAGGGTTTTTCACCAGTGTGGACTACCTGATGGAGCTCGAGGTGCTGGTGATTGAAGAACCTCCGGTCACACTTGTTACATTTATAGGGTCGCTCACCAATATGCGTTCTCATGTGAGCATCTAAGTGACTCTGACATGAGAATCTCTTATCGCATTCATCGCACTGATGTGGACGCTCTCCAGTATGGATTTGCAAGTGTTTCTCAAAAGTCCACTTACTGGCTAATACTTTCCCACACACCTCACAGGAAAAGGACGTCTTTTCTGAGCTTGACTTATGTGTCCTGGCCCTTTTATTGTCAATTTTCAGTGGTACATAATCTTCGTCTTTATCCGTATAGTCTGTTAGAAGAAAGAGTGACAGTTGAGGTTCTCCGTTGTAATGGGCACTGCATACCAGTTTTAAAAGGCCATCCAGAATTTATAGGAGTTCTATTTGTTAAAGTAGTTTTAAAGACTCAAGGTTTTTTTTCCCTTCATGCATTCTATGCATGAAGGTACAAAACCTTCTGTGTGCAGCAGCCCTTCCCCCCCCCCTCCCCCACCAAAACCTACCTGAACCCCATCCTGATCCAGTGATGTACATGAGAGCCTCGTCTCTCACTCCTTATTGGCGGAGACCGCAGCGGAAAGCATGGTCTACTGTCAATCTCAGCCAATGAGGAGAGTAGGGGGCGGGGCTGAGCTGTGCTCTGTGTGTGAATGGACACACAGAGCAGCACCTCAGGAGTGAGCCTGCTCGGTTGCCCCCATAGCAAACTGCTTGCTATGGGGCACTATGCAGAGGGGAGGGGCCTGGAGCTTCAACAACAAGGTACCCGAGAAACAGGAGGATAAGGGCTGCTCTGTGCAAAACTACTGCATAGAGTAGGTAAGTATGACATGTTTGTCATTTATTTTTTTTAAAGCCTTTAATATCACTTTAAAGAACATGTAAACCCAATATAACATATTCCTGATATGTGCCTGCTGTACCATGTGCTTGTATGAAAAAGTATCCTGTTCTCTTTGTATTGCTTCCTTTGTGTGAAATCCTTGGTGTTCCTGCCACACCCTCTGCTTTCCTATTAAAAAAAAACTGATCACACTGGGCATGAAAGTTCAGTGTGGTCAGTTCTCTAGCTGTGCTGTGAACTCAGTATGCTTTCCTCCAGTGAACAGACTTGTCCTGACACCTCCCCCCCCCCCCCCCCCCCCCCTTACACAACCATTCACTGGTAAGATTATTATACATTATTATACAGTATTTATAAAGCGCCGATAGTTTGCTCAGCGCTGTACATTACAAAGGGGGACAGAACATGTGACAGAACAATAACAATACAATGCAAAACATGAGGGGATCGAGGGAGATCAGTGTATTGCTGTTTAGGTGGACAGCCATGTCTTGCTAGGTTTGCAGATGTGAGTTCTGTAGGCAATTGGTTCCACTAGATTTTAGTTAGGGGTATCAGAGTAAAGGGGGCTGAATACAAATGCACACCATACTTTTCAGATATTTATTTGTAAAAAATGTTGAAAATTATTTATCATTCTCCTTCCCCTTCACAATTATGTGCCACTTTGTGTTGGTCTATCACATAAAATCCCAATAAAATACATTTAAGTTTTTGGTTGTAACATGACAAAATGTTGAAAATTTCAAGGGGTATGAATACTTTTTCAAAGCACTGCATGTAGCCTTAACTACATGCAGTAACAGCACTGTGTTCCAGCTGTGAGACAAGAACAAAATTGAGTCAGGCTGAGTGGGGCTCAGCCATTCAGAGGCAACTTTGTAGTTTCTGAATGAATACAAAGTTTCCACATCACAATCTCCATCTCAGCCAGAGGAAGCTTGTAACCATTTAAATCAGTGGTTCTTAACCTGGGTTCGATCGAACCCCAGAGGTTCGGTGAGTCAGTCTCGCGGGTTCGGCGGAGGTGAAGACCCACACCCGACTCATATGATTCGTGATGACATGCCCCGCTTGTCCATCATTGGCTGCAGGTGGTCACGCAACATCGCTTAGCCCAGTGGTCGGCAAGCCGCGGCTCGCGAGCCACATGCGGCTCTTTACACGCTTTAATGCGGCTCTTGTGTGCCGGGCGCCCGCTCCCCTCCCTCCTCTCGGGCGGCAGGGACTCTGCAGCGTGATCCACAAAAACAGCCAGGGCAGCGCGCTCAAATGCAATGATTGGCCAGTCTCGCTGCCACTCACATCCTGTCAGCCAGTGATTGGCTGTCAGGATGTGTGTAGGCGGGGCAGCGTGACGAACGTGAGAGGAGCTAGGCTCCTCTCTCAGTCCGCCCTGAAGACCGGAACGGCGCGGGAATACGGCGAGAGGAACGCGCAGAGCAAAGGTAAGTGAATTGACACAGGGGGGACTTGGCTTACTGCTTGCTACTTACTTACTACTACTATATAAGGGATGAATTAATATGGGGGATGAATTACTATAGGGGATGAATTACTATATGGGGGATGAATTACTATGGGGGATGAATTACTATGGGGGATGAATTACTATATGGGGGATGTAATTACTATATGGGGGATGTATTACTATATGGGGGATGAATTACTATATGGGGGATGAATTACTATATGGGGGATGAATTACTATGGGGGATGAATTACTATATGGGGGATGTATTACTATGGGGGATGAATTACTATATGTGGGATGAATTACTATATGGGGGATGAATTACTATATGGGGGATGAATTACTATGGGGGATGAATTACTATATGGGGGATGAATTACTATATGGGGGATGAATTACTATATGGGGGATGTATTACTATGGGGGATGAATTACTATATGGGGGATGAATTACTATGGGGGATGAATTACTATATGGGGGATGAATTACTATGGGGGATGAATTACTATATGGGGGATGAATTACTATGGGGGGATGAATTACTATATGGGGGATGAATTACTATATGGGGGATGAATTACTATATGGGGGATGAATTACTATGGGGGATGAATTACTATATGGGGATGAATTACTATGGGGGGTGAATTACTATATGGGGGATGAATTACTATAGGGGGGATGAATTACTATGGGGGGATGAATTACTATATGGGGGATGAATTACTATGGGGGATGAATTACTATAAAACAGTGGTTCTTAACCTGGGTTCGATCGAACCCCAGGGGTTCAGTGAGTCAGTCTCGCGGGTTCGGAAGAGGTGAAGACCCACACCCGACTCATGATTCGTGCAGTAAATATTCATTATTATGTTTTTGTGTGAAAATCATGTTTTAATGGTTTTGTTCTTTGTTCTTAACGGTTTTGTTCATTTTGTGCACCTATGTATAAATATATACCTATGTTTTGAATTTTAAAAATCATATTTTATTTTTCCAATTAAGAAGGGTTCGGTGAATGCGTATATGAAACTGGGGGGGTTCAGTACCTCCAACAAGGTTAAGAACCACTGATTTAAATTGACAGTAAAGCTGGAACACATTTTTAATGGACTACATTGTTCAGATGGTTTTTAAATGCATGGTACTGCCTTAGTGCATTAGGGTGCAAAATAAAATGAAACTACTGGGTTTCATGCATTATTTTAAATACATGAGTGTAATTAGCCCATAGCAATTACATAAAAACTTAAAGACTGAGCCAAGCAGAAATTATATAAAAAAAAAATTAAATAAATGCCTGGACATACATGTTAACAAAAAGGTGAACAAAGTGCTTACCTGCATTGACTGTGTCCTGAGATACAGACATATCCGAATCTTGACTTTCCTCTGGGTCATCCTCGATGTGATGGATAATACTGTGAACCCTTTTACGACCAGAAGAACGAGGGACCTGGGGAAATTCTGGAGTGACATGAAAAATGCAGCATTAAAATATGTAAAGAAAGAATTTCTCTCCATGTACTACAATGATTCCAACAAAGGGTAATCCGTCCATCCAGGGGCAAACTGACAACTCATGGGGCCCCCAGTCAATAGGGGATTATGGGGCCCCTGTGTCCTTGCCCAAACTCAAAAAAGCCTATGAAAGGTACCAGGGGCATCTCATGGGGCCCCCTACTGACCCCAGGCCCTCGGGCAGTGCCCGAGTTTCCAAATGGTCAGTCCGCCCATGAGTCCATCTATAGACAGATACCCTGTGCAAATAGCATTTTACAGAGTTTATCAGTCCCTGCCTCAGAGCAGCTCATAAACCAATATTCCTTCTGCAGTCATACAAGCAATTGTACTCACTAATGTGAATACAGGGGATGATGGGGAAGGATCATCCAGAAGTCAACAGTGGAGGAGCACAGGGAAGACACACATCAGTGGATAGAATGTTTTTTTTAAAAAGAACCTGTCACTTTCATGAATAGCCCAAATCTGGGTTCCTGGCTCTGCTCTCTGCCTTCCTTTTTCAAAATCTGTAGGCTGGTCATGTGATACTGTATGGTCCTATTCACCTCTTCTACAGACTGGGTGATCCTCAGAGATACAGAGAGCAGTGCTGACACGATGACGTCAGAACCACTCTTTACACCAATACACAGTAAACATAGGGAGCTGTGGTAATGGGGAGTCCATGACACCCTGCACTCACAGTCACATGTCCTCAGTCTTCTGGGTGTACTAATGGATCACAGCATAGACAATGACTGTTCTCCATTCTGTTCCATCAGGAGCCTTTTCCCTTTCCCAAAGCCAGAAGTGACAGATCTAAAGATGTCTACATATCTTAAATAACTACTTACCTTCATCTGCACTGTCGTCAGTGTCACCGGTGGACTCTCCATCGGGTTCAGGATTATTATTACACGAGGAGGTAAAGTCGAATCCAGATGTTGTTTGGGTTTCCATAAAAGGTAGGTGAAAATTTAAAGTAGATAGGTAGGGTTTTCTTTCTGGTTCTCCTGGAATAAACGCTGAAGAATGAAGAGATGATGTCCCATCTAAAAAGAAAGAATTTACACCTCTCAGCTTATGTGTAAATGTTTCACCCTTACCATAGTAACTACACGGTTCATACTGGACAAAAAAACCTTTATTCCCAATAAAAAGAGACTCTAAAACTAATAAAGTATTGGGTGGACATACACTTTTAAGATCTCTGTAATATATGATCTGCCTACATTGTTGGATCTATAGATAATATTGCCACATTCAGACTGAGTTGTTCAGGTTTAGGACAGGTTTACATTAAAGGGAATATGTCAAGATGAACATAAGGTGGCCACCATTGCTGGCTTGGTTCTGAGGTTGCACACTTAGGGCTGCTATCATTATCCTGATCCTTAGTAAATCAATCTCATTTTGTTCTGAGTTGGTGATCTACT